CATTCAGCTGACTGCGTGGTGCCTCAGCTGAAATAACAGACCAGGGGAAATGTGTAATTGGCTTTCATCAAATCGAAAGCATGGGGCAGCCCAGCCAAGCCAAAGTTCTGTCTCTGTCCATAGCACAGAAATTATATTCTGCTTAATGTCAGCCCATGTGTGGGGGAAGAGGGCGGACTAGAGGGGAAAGAGCATGAGGACCAGCCTCAGCCCTTCTGGCACAGCTACTCGGCCCAGAGCTTTGTCCGAATAGGCAGCAGAGACAGAAAGGGGGTGTGGCTCCGACTTTTGGGAAGAAGGCACCTGGGGCAAAGGAGAAACAGAAAGACAGAAAGGGGAAGGACTGGAAGAGAGAGAAAGAGTTAACCTTTAATTTAAAAAGTCACTTACATATGAAAAACAGTAGCCTACTGATATCTTTCCCACCCCTCCGCCCAGATAACACTGGGAAATAACAAACTTAACATTAACCAGTTTATCAACTCATCATCTGATATGTTGTTCAATTATAATTTAATAACTTCAAAGATTAAAATGAAAAAGAAAATTTAAAACTCATCCAAAGAGACATAGAGCATTCTTCCAGGGTCCTATGACTAAACTACATTTTGGGAGTGAGGGGAGGAGTTAAAAATAACCCAAATCCTTGGGAACTTTGCTGAGTGATTTGGAAACTCTACAGTTTATCTCATCTACTTCCAGGAATTTTGCCCCTCTGTGTTCCCCATCCTGGCCCCCCAACTTAAGGGGAGCACGTGAGGTCCACATAAGAAGAGGGAGACAGAACTCGGGGTCCTCTGGGTGCTCTCCCAGGGCCCCTAAGAGTAATAACTGTTGTGCTATCACCACTGCCCCAATTATGCATGACCCCAGGCGAATTGTCCCCAGGATCCCGTGGACTTTGGCCTTGGCTTTGTCATTGCCGTCCTATCTCAGGATCCTACCTTTGGATCTGAATATCCAAAAAACCACATGGCCCTAGTTTCCTGGTCCTCAGCAAGGGCCATCAAGTAGCCCCAGTAACAGAAAGAACAGTGAGTCATTGGATGTGGTTCCATAGTGCAGCAGTTAGCACGTCTGCTTTATATGCAGAAGGTCCTGGGTTCGAGCCCCAGTGGAGCCATGGTCCTTGGTCTATGGCCATGCCACCCTGAACAAGCCAATGTCTGATCTCGAAGCTAAGCAGGGTCGGGCCTGGTTAGTACTTGGATGGGAAGCCACCTAGGAAGACCAGGTGCTGTAGGCATAAATAATTCTAATTAAAAAAAAGAACAGTGAGTCACGCAGGCCTCGGCTCAGTCCCACCTCCACCCCCTCCAGCTCCAAGAGGCAAAAAGAGTGTGGGACTGGGGTAAGGAGGACCTAGCTCTTCGATCTCCACCAAGCTTCTCAGTTATCCCTTCCTTGAACTACCTAAATCTCAATGACCTCTTCAGTAAAATGGATTAAAAGAAACAATGTGCCTCGCATGAGGTAGGACCTAATTAATTGGTTGATGTTATCATTATCATTGCTATTACCTGACTTTTTGCAAGACACTTAACCTCTCTGAACTTGCCTTCTTATCTGAAAAAATGGAAGTAATAATAACTGCTTCTTAGGATGGTCACAAGGATTATATATGTAAAGGATTATAAGGATTGCATATGTAAAGACGGTAAAGATCACACACACGTGTAATATTGGTAAAGCACCTACACTGTAGTCACTCAACATTAGATTTCTTTCCCTTTCCTTTCCAGACTCCCTCCTACACAATCCAGGATAAGAACTGCCTGGATCCCTCATGGCCAAGATGGTCCTAACATTTAGCTAAAAGACAGAAGAATTTGTTCCTAAAGGTGGCTTTTCAAACCGCTGGTCTTTGGTCTCAGCCCACACCCATAAAAGGAAACACCGTCAGGTGAGAGGCCTCTGCGGAACACGCACTGAGATGGCCAAGGAGGAAGCCGACAGCTGCAGGACTCACCGCTCAGCACTAGAGGGAGCAATAAGCTCAGGAACGCAGTGAGGGCCACGCCCAGAAATCTCTCCACTCCCCGGCCGGGTCTCCTTCATAGAGCCGATCAAGCAAGGAAGAGAACGCTGCAGGAATACTCAGAAAGGCCTTCGTGGAAACAAATGATGGGGGGAAATGCAGGGCGCCATGGAGAGCCCACCCTCCTTCCGGCTTCAGCCTCATCTCCGCCTGGAGAGCCCTCTCCAGCTTCTAGACTGCGACCACCGGATGGATCCACTTCTAGAGGAGCTGGGAGGGACCTTGAAAAATAGGAAGACAGGCCAGGTTACTTTTCCCAGGCGGTCCAACATCTACATCTAGCTCACCCAGCATCTTAGCAAAGTCCTAGTGACTCACAGATAGAAGGAGCCTTATGAAACCACAGATGTTCAACCCTCAGATGTTTTTAGCTGGAGGGCTGGGACGGAAGGGCTGAGTTTAAGCAAGATCTCCCATGTAGTTTACAACAATCCTTCATAGAGTTAACCAAATACTTTTATGTCCATCATCTCACTTGGATATTCACAAGCAGCTGGTGTAGACAGAGACTATTACCCATTTCACAAATGAGGAAACTGAGGTTTAAGTGCCATAGCGCTCCTCTTCCCTACTAAATTTTCATTGCCATCCATTATTCCCTCCCCTCTTGCTTTCCTTTATTTTGAAGTTGGTCCAAACTTCAAACAAAACACCAAGAAGATTGCTCCTCCACTCCAAGTATTCTGTTAATCAAAATTTAAAATATGTGTTACTTCCATCTAACCTATGCAGCATGATGGAGAGACGATATAGCAGAGTAATTATGAGGGTGCACTTTGGAATCGGATCTGAGTAAATATTTTATGTTCATCTCTTATTAATTCCATGACCATGGACCACTCTTATTCCTCAATTTCCTTATCTATAAAATGAGAATATTTACATCTAACTCCTAGGATTCTTTCAAGGGTTAAATGAGATGTGCTATAGAGCAATTTTATAGTGCCTATGATATAGTAAAAGCTTGATAAACAGCTTCTAGCATATAATCACAGAACTGAAATGATCTTTGGGAATTAGTTCATTACTTTTATGCTCTTTACCAATGAAGTCAAATAGAGTTAAGTAGAGATGTTATTTTGAGAAGTAGGTTTGCATACTGGTTCAAATGCTTCCCCTTCTCAAAAATTCATGTCTACCTGGACCCTCAGAATTTGAACTTGTTCGGAAATAGAGTCTTTGCAGACGTAATGAGTTAATATGAAGTCAAACTAGACTGTTGTCCTTTTAAGAATAGGAGAGAACACATAGAGACGTCAAGACCAAGGGGAGAAGACCACGTGAACACAGAGGCAGAGACTGCGCAATGCAACTACAATCATTTCCGGGAACCCCCGGAAGCTAGGAGGAAGACACGGAATGAGTCTTCCCTCAGAGCCTCCAGATGGAACCAATCTTGTCAACACCTTTATTCTAGACTTCTAGCCTCCAAACTGAGAGAGAATATATTTCCGTTGTTTCAAGCCACCCAGTTTGTGGTAATTCGTTATGGCAGCCTTAGGAAACTAATATAGCCTGTGACAGAGGAAGAACTGGGACAGAACTCCAGGTTTGTTTTTTTAATTCCAGTCTCACCCTCTTTACTTCATCATTGCCTCTCCCAGCCAGCAATAAACATTTATGGAACACCTACCTAGGAAACTTACTTGTTTGAAGAAAAGTTGACACAATCTATATAATCTTTAGCCTTTCCTACTAAATTGTCACCTGACACACTGTAGGCATTTAATAAATATTTACTGGCAAGTTGATAAAATAAGATATAAAAATGGCACTTTTATATTGTGTTACACAGATTTAAGGTATTATGAACCCACTTTCAACTCTGCGTATGCCGTTGTACTATAATTTTTTTAAAATATTTTTTATACTAAAGAATCACAAAACCCAGAACTATTTCTCACAGCTGCCACTGCAGCCTGAACGTCTCCTGAGGTTCACAGCCCTGCTCATTAACTACCTCCAGGGCTAATCAATTAAAAGGAAAGTGTTGACTCCAGAAGGAATGTACCTGTCAAAAAGGACTCCTTGTGGTTAAGTGGGCCCAAATTCATAATCAAGAGTCCAGCGACCATTGTTTGCAGAGGCCCCTCAAGTACACCGCCACAGACTAAGCCATGCCTCCTGCACCGCCTTCCAGAAGTCTGAGTGGAACCTTATAAAGGAGTTCCTGAAATCGTAATTTCAACCAATGGGCTGAGACTACCCTATCCAATCAGAGCTGTGGGACATAGCCTCATTTGCATCTTTACCAACCAATCAGAGTGGCTCCATTACAACCAATCAGAACGTGTGATTCTGACCAATCAGGACAGTGCTATTTGGACCAATCTAATTGTGAACATTTTGATGCTTTATTTGCATAAAAATGAACCAATCAAGGATCAGGGCAGCAGTTTATAGCAGGGCAGCAGTTTACATCAGGACAGCAGTATGCCATTTGTCTCAGGGCCTGTGCTTTCCGTTTCCCCTTCTCCCTTTCTCCGTTAGGCTGCTTTTTTCCTGGAGCTGTTATTTCCCGCAGAGACTACGTTGTCCCCAGTTTGCAAAAAGTTTACCAGAATAAAGCCTCTTCTTCACCCCACCTCACACCCATACCCCAGACTGGGGACTCCTGGTGGCATTGGATTGGTAGCCCAGACCATTTGTTAACAAAAGCAATCTGAACCCTTCAGGATTCTGAATCTTCCAGGGCAAAGGTGATCTTCTTGCTAGTTCTCCCACAATAAGCAGGAGGGAGTCAGGAGAGCTGACAGTTGATGTAAAGGGAGTAGGCCATAGAGCACTATAGCCTGGAGTAGAATGAGTGGTGGTGTGTTAACAGCTATAAAAGGAAGGAGGGGAGGAGGGAGGAGCTGATTCCCTAGGACTACTCTTAGAGTGACTCAGAAGCCAGCAGAAAATAGCTGTTCTCCGAGTCAGCCTCATTGTCAGGCAGTGAGGCACTTCCTCATTGCACACCCTTAGGCAAGGCAAAAGGGAGGAGGAGGAAATGGGATTTTTCAAATTCGTAGGCCCATTTCAGCACCTGAACTGTGTGTTTATAATCATTTCAGACATTTTGTTTCGAGTCAAATCATTTATGTGCCTGGCCCTTCATCTTGCCTTTCACATTTGTCAGTTACCTGAACACAGAGAATATGTCTTTCCCAAGTTCTGTATTTTCTACTTCATTACCTAAAAGGCACTTGGGCTGCTGTCGAACACCTCACTACAGTTTTGCTGTCCTTCATATAAATGACGCTGTCAAGCCTACAATCAATCAATAAGGGAAGGCACGAAGCTTTTTTCTGGCTCTAATGCTGATTTTACAGTCATCCAGGCCCATTCTCTGGACCTGCCCACCTTGTGAGAGCCAGTGTGAGATGAGCAGAATATGGCGCAAGTTTAGAGTCACACAACCTTTTTGGAAGTTCGTTCTTTCCCATTTACTAGCTCTTATGACTAAATTTCTCTGAATCTCTATCGTCTCATCTGTAAAACGTGCACAGTGATGCCTATCTTCCAGGTTAGGAAAGATTTTTCATAGAATAGTGAAGATTAAATATCATATGAAAGTACCTGGCACAGGGATGACATAAAAACTGGTTGACTTCCTTCCAACTTCTCTGTGGATGAACAGACTGAACGTAACACTCCACCAAACTGTAAACTGAATGAAGGCAGAGCTGCGTCTGCCTTGCAGGCTAGATACCTGTATTGCTTAATAATTAAGGTTAGTACGTTATTAAAATTAGTACATTATTTATGCATTATAAATATTTGTTTTATAAGTATTGATTGTATCATAAGAATTTACTGTATTTGGGTTATTAATTTTTTAAGTAGTCGAATCAGTCTGTAAACTGGAAGAGGGATACAGAAATCTTGACCTCAGGTAGGAATGTATCCTCTCCCCTCTCTTGTTACCACTAGCAAGATCTGCATCCCTGTGTTAACAAGAAGGGACAGACATTCTTTGCATACTCTACACTGTATTTTGTACTAGCTTCACTGCAAACGCCATTACCCACAGTATAAGGGAAAGGACACAAAAAAGTCCCCACATCTGGCAAGGAGAGCGTGGAAAGCCTTGACACACGAAATTGCAATTATTCATTGGACTTCTACCTGGAAAGTAAGTCAGACTAGGTTTATGCTCTCTCGGATGCTAGCCGGTGTCCCCATCCCAGGAGCTTCAGATCTAGTATGCTTTTCCAAACGTAATGTGAAAAGAGAAGGGTGGTCTCAGAGGTTTTCACCCTCGCTTTTAACACCACACGCTCAAGCTCGTCCAAGAAAAAGAGACCAGGAAAGAAGACACGTTACCAAGATTTCAACAGCTAATTCTAAAGCAGACACCAAAGCCCACTGCAAACGTTAATGAGCCCAATCGATCAGGGCACCCGCCATTCCTAAGCTTCCCGGACCAGGAGGGTAAAGCACGAAGCGCTCGCCCGGGTCCCGCCCGGAAACCGCACAGAGGTGGAAAGTTGCAGAAGCCGGGCCAGGAGGGGCAGGAGCCCAACCCCAAGCTCCGGCCGGAGGGGAACGCTTCCTCTCGGAAGTGACGCGAGCTCAATCCCAGCTTGGCTCTCCCCAAACAAAAGGGATCTTGGGGCCCCGGGAGGAGCCTCAGTGACATTGGAGCAGCCCCTCCTCCGCCCGGCGCAGATTGGTGTCAGGGCTGGAGAGGTAAGGTGGCGATTGGCCCTGGTGAATGCCAGTTCCCTCGCCTGGCGGTTGAGGGGCGGGACCGCGGGGGGCAGTGGATGGGAGCGGGTGGCGGAGGCGGCAGGGAGCGGAGCCCGGAGCGCCGGGAAAAGGTAGGATCTGCTAGGGCTGGGGCTTGGCCGTGGCAGGGAGGCCGTGTTCTCGAGGGAAAAGTAAAGGTAGGACCACAGGTGTCCTCCTGCCACCGTCCCAATTGCCACTCGCGCCCATCCGCGGAGGGGGCGGGGCCGTCTCTTCCACCTCCCGGTATTCCCCGTGAGCTCCTCATCCTTCGAGGGTCCTCGCAGCTACTTATTGTCCCCCGTCAATCCCAGCTCCGCAGAAGTCTCCCCTTCTGACATCTCTCATTTAAAGACACCCCCTCGCCCAGAGCCTCAACCTTGGGGGAGGACGCACAGGTTCCCATCCTCTAGGGTGCCCCCCCGCATTTTGTCCCCCGGGGAGGCCAGACATCCCTCCCAACACCTGCCCCTGCTCGCTAAGGTGGCACCGGAGCTGGTTTCATCCGTAAAATAAAATCACTGTTTTCCAAAAAAAGAGGGATGGAGCGAAGCAAAAATCAAAACCCGATCTAGGTTGCCTGGTCCACAGACGAAGCGGCCTTCCCCGACTTCGGTTCTTCCCATCCCCCATGGTCTGATCCTCAGCCTTCCTCCTGAAGCCCCTCAGATCCTCTGTTCTCCTGTGGGGGTCGAGAGCTCACCTGCGGCGGGACTTTTTTAGACTCCTGAGGAAGGAGAAATAGTAACTCCCCACCCTCACACCCCCTTTTGTATCTTCTCTGCTCTGTTCCTTGAGGGAGAACCCGACTTCTAAGGGTCTTTTGGGTTTGAGTTGTTTCATGTTTGCTTTCCACCCTGTTTCTTCCCTGAGAACTTGATGAAAAACCGTCTTTTTTCTTTCACAGTGAGGTGAGTGTTGGATATCTGCAGAGATGGCCTTGTGTGAGTAGGTGTTCAGTGTGTATTGTTTGACTGTCAGTGAATAACATGTGTCAAATGAAACAGTATTGATGAGTAAATAAAGAGCATTAGATTAGAAATGAGTATTTATCTCCCTCAGTCTAAGGCGGGCTGGTCTGTTGCTCAGGGAGACTGCAGTTAACCTTGAAGTTATAGTCCTGTCGAAACAAAAGGCAGGAAGTGTTTGAAGAAAATTCGGGTTCAGTTGTCTCGGTTTATCATTAATCTAGTCCTGTGGCCTTTGGTTACTTTCTATCCCTTTTTTATGGTGGGTTTTTCCTTCCAGGAGAAACTGATACATATATGATGTTATTGATTGGTTTTATAAGCACAGTATCAGCTACCAAAATTTAGGAGTTGAACAGTAAGAGCCCATTTTTAAATCTCAGACATAGGATAACAAAGGTAACACGAGCTATTCACACGCATTGTGACTACCAAAAAGTGTCTCTCTAGTGTGCTCATAAAGGCTGTCAAGTTGGCCTTCATTTCAGCAGGTGCAAAATATTGATGATTTTGTCCAAATGTTATTGCCATTGAATCCCCAGTAATCATCTATTGCTAGCACTGCCATATATTAAAATTTGCCACATGTTTTAGCTTTTTCTTTTGATTTCTATCTGTAGTCCATCTTTCACTGTTATCTATAGATAAAGCTAATAGCAATGAGATGCAAGGAGTCGGAATCACAGAGGGTGATTATTATGGCTGTCTTTCACCTTCCTGATTAAACTTTCTGAAGGTAGGCTTCCTGAAGGTATTTATTTTTGAATAGTTAGGTTCAAAGTTTTCAGAGCCAATCTCAGTGCTCACAGATCTGTTCAGTGATTGTTTCCAGATCTCCCATAAAAGAGCATGAGGAAGAAGCTGTGTGGAGGGAGGGTCTCTGCAGCAAACGCGAAGTGTACCGCGATGGGGGAGCAAGTCACGGGCCCCCAGCGGTAACAGCAGAGAAAATTAAAAGCAGACCAGGAAATCCCCAAAAGATATATCTTATTACATGAGCAGAGAACAGAAAATAAACGAAGGTAAGAGACCAAGCAAACCAAAGTAGTGGTGATTTTCAGGGCCTTAATGAGCAGACAGGAAAAAGCAAATCCTGCTCTTTGATTATTTGGCACATTAAGTAGGACCTGTTCGACACACATTTGGGTCTTTGGAAATCTTTCCTCTAACTTTTTCAATAACTGTTCGGTCATATTAGATGAAGAAAAGCATTGTGTATGGAGGATTTCTATGTGTGTGTCTAATCTAGCTCATTAAATTGTAAATTCTTCGAGAGCAGATAGTGTGGTTTTTTTCATCTTTGTATCTTTCATGGTGCCTGGCATATAGTTTGACTTAATGAGTGTTGAACTTAGTTTGAAGCTGTCACCTTAGTCTAAAAAGATAATGTACTGATAAGATACGGCACAGTATGTTAGGATGAATAGTCAATCCACTCTTGGTCTTGATTTAACTTTTATTTTCCCTCTCTGAGGTCTTACAAAACTATAATATCTTGTATAATTCTAAAATAGTGTATTTCTTATAAGAAAATATCTCCTGGTTAGATATATAATTTTGCCGTAATGAAATTTGAACCAGAATTATTGATGTAATCAGTGCCCTAAAATCCTAGTCATTTTAGGATTTTATTTTCCTAAGAATCTGACCAGAGAGGAATCTGACCATTTAGGAGAGCTCACTAGGAACTGGTTGCGGATTTTTGTTCAAGAATGGTTTCTGCGTGTTTGGTTTTGACACATTGCTGATCTACTCTGGGACTTTTCAAATGGATTTTTCATTGATTTTGTGCTTTTCCGAACCAGGACTAAATATGTGAACAGGGGCACAAAAGGTAGTGGGTCCCCACATGGAGTCACCAGACTGACGACGGGCCGGCATGATGCACTCAGTGGGTTTGGCATCTGGTTTGCAATGCTACCATGGACTTGCAGAACAGGACTGGAATGCTCAGCTTTTCTGAGCGGAGCAGAATGGTGTTTCTAGAAGTTGCCATTTGAATTGGTGTTTGGTGGCATGAGATGAGAAACTTTCTAAAGGAAACTTGTCCAGCCTGAGGTGGTTGACCCCAGGAATGGCTTGTCAGCCGTTTCTAAAGGCCATTTTTTTCTTATTTCCTGAATGTTTTCTAATAACTAAAAATCAAGTCGTTCAAGTTTCAGTTCAAAGCATTTCATGAGAAAATGACATATATCGTGAGTCTATAGAGTGTGGTAATTTACAGTAGCAAAGTTGGGTTCAAATCCCAACTCCGTACTCTTTCACTGTGTGAGCCAGGACGAGAACAGAGTTTTCACCGTTTCTCAGTTTCCTCTGCTGTGACGTAGAATTAACTTTGAAGTTTTTTTCTAAGATTACATTTAAATACATACATATCACAAAGCAAGGTACCTAATGTGTAGGAAGCACTCAGTAATGGTAGGTATTATTGTCATTAGTATTAGCACTTTGCATGTGTGCTAAAGAATTTAATATTAAGCATTCTTTTACTTCTTTAGCATTTTAGCAAAGGTGAGGAATTAGTGTCTGAATTTAGTTATTGGTTGATTTTGTTTTAACTTTTTCAATATACAGCTAAGATTCCTAAATAGAGGAAAACGACGCTTGTATATGTCATGATGCCAGACATCTGGTACAAGGATTTTTAGGAGAGTGTGTGTGTCTGTCTTATAGTGTGTGTGTGTGTGTGTCATAATTTTGTTCTGCAAATTATCTTCCTTGAATTTTTTTGGCTCAGGAAAAAGAAAGGCAGGGTATTCAACCATCTGACATCTTCTCTCTGAATTTATTGTCCATCGTTCCACTCCAAACTCTACTGTCTTAAGTACCTCTATCCTGAGTGTCATGTAAACAGTTTCGTGGATACTGTGATATGGTACCTTCTGTGAGATTTAAGGCAAGTGGCAATTTTGATTAAAAGTGATTTTAATTGAAGACAACTCTGCCACCACCACCCCATCCCCAAAGGTGAGGCGCAATCATAGGAACAACCAAAATGGGTCACTGGTGGAGGAGTTAAGAGAGGAGGTGGGGAGAGGAAAACAAGACTAGAAGCCAGCACTGATGCAAAGAATGCAGGAAGATGGCTTCTCCCTGCCAAGTGTTTCCAAACTCTTGGGTTTCAGGTACAAAGCCAGCGCTGCTGCCGAATCTAAATGTGTGTCCTTCTGGAGCCACAAAGAGTGTAATTCTTAATTGTCACTATCGTTACTGAGTTTAAAGACTGTAATCCATAATTGTTACCAAGTTCAGTAAAAACCAGAAAGGAAGATACGAGAGCACAGGATGAAGGGGTTAACAGACCAAAAGACTTCTGACCCTGAACCTCGGAGCGGCTGCGCCGATCCTTCGTGCAGGGCTGCTGGGAAGGGCTCGGCCATGCGTGCTCTGGGTCTGCTCTCCTTTGAAGGTGAGAGAGCCAGGGAGGAAGAACAGAAGGGAGAAGCAGCAGGGTTGAGCTGTTTTAACAAGAGAGAGAACTGTATGTTAGAAAGGAGAGAAAAATGAGAATAACTGACAGGTAAGTCATAGAAAGAAGAGAGAAGCACTAACTATGTCTTTTCGGTGGGAGGGGTTCCCTGTTCCTCCGTTTCTGTTAAGTAGGTCTTTCTGTTGCAGCAGGTGTTAGAGTGAGGACAGAACTAACCTGGTTGGTTCTTAACTGGTGTAATAATTGAGGACACAGATCTGGTCTGCTATGTATCAGCTTCCTCCTGTTGCCTTTTGTTCCTTCTTTGAAGGCACAAAAGTTTTCTGAAAAGGCTCTGCACCTAAAGACGTCTCCACTTCTAAACCTTTAGCCTTCACCACAGCAGCTGACTTACCACATTCCTCTTGGGGGCCTGATGACTTCCCATTCAGCGCGTCTCACATCACAGTCATCATTTCTCCCTAAAACCAGTTCCTTTTCTAACATCCCTGTTTTTCTTAATGGCATCATCATTTTAGTCACCCAGTCTTAAAACCTCAGCTGATTTGGGATTATTTCCCCTC